CGGCCCAGCAACAAGCGGAGGGAAAAGGCACAGGGAGTGGCCTGCGGGGTGACCAGGCCACCCACCCTGATCCCTCATGAGCACCGGGCGTTTGAGGTCAGCATTGTCAACCAGGTAACAGCCGGGCTGCTCGTGAAGAGGCATCCTCTTTGAAAACCATGGAGGACCAGCTCAGAGGCCTCATCAGGCCCAGAGTGACCTCTACTCTCCTGTGCCCCAAGGAAGAGGCTGTGGGCAGCAGGAGGCCTCACATTAGCCGGCCTCTACCTCTGGGATCTTTGCAGGGGTCCACTTACCTCCCCAGCTCCTCCTAGCACAGAAATGGGGGCTGGCAATAGGGGTCAGGGGACCATGGCTTTCAGATTAGCCTCCCAGTTGTCCTTGCTCCAGCAAAGGGGCACCAGAGCTCGAATGCATGGGGCCCGCTCAGTCTCAGCTGGGCCTGGCACAGGACCAGGGCTCCTTTTTTGCATTCAGAGCCCATTTCCTCCTTTAAACTGGAGTCATGACATCTCAAAACGCAGTGCAGTGAGGAGGAAGGGAAAACCACCACCCACGGGGCACTTGCCATGAGCCACGCACTAAATTTGTCCTCCTTCATGTGACATCTCATTTAATCTTCACAACAACCCTAGGATACGCTGTGTGTAATATTCCCTTTCTATAAATAATAAGCTCAGGCACAGAGAGGTCAATTAATATGCACAAGACCACACAGCTGGCAGCCCCTCCTTCAACTCCAGGTTGTTGTTTTTTTTTTCCTCCAAAGTCTTTTTTTTCTCTCGTCTTCCTTTTGAGACAGAGTCTCACCAAGTTGCTGAGGCTAGCCTTGAACTTGTGATCCTAATGACTCATCCTCCCAAGTTGCAGGAATGATAAGCATGCATCTTTTTTATCCCCTTAAATGGAGTCTCCTGTTCAAACCCCAGCACTGCACAACAATCAATAAATAAAGACCGTTTGCTAGGTTGGCCCCAAACCCCTGGGCCCAGGTGATCCTCCTAAGTAGCTGGAGCTGCAGGCAGAGGGCTGCTGCACCTGCTGACTCCACGTCTTTGAGCTCCTGAAGGTAAATGAGAGGGGGCTGTTGTTCCCTCCACCTTCTCCCATCCCACCTGGCACCAGGACCTAATGGGTTCAGTGCCCTCCATGGTGCCTTCAAGGGTGTGCTGAGCTCTGCTCCGTCTGGGGAGCCCGGGGGAGACGGTACACATGGAGGAGGTGAAGGCAGGGCCAGGCCTGGGGAAGGGGACCTTTCACCCACGGACACGCACACAGGAGGCTGGCTCAGGGGAACAGAGGCAGCTGCCTTTATTGGCGGCCTTGGGCCGGCTGGTGTCACTCGAAGGCTATGCACTTGATCTTGAAGTCGCCGTCCGCTGCCACATAGTTGATGGCCTCCAGGTTGAGGCGGTTGGGGAACTTGAACTCGTGTCCATCTGGCAGCTTGATGGTCAGGTCCATCTGGTCAAAGGAGAAGCACACCTGGAGGTGGAGAGGGACATGAGCCGGGCCGCAGCAGGACCCGGCCATGCTGACCCCGTGACCAGGCAGTGAGGGAGGGACCCCGGGTGGGGCCCAGGTCCAGAGACCCCAAACCCAGCACCCCCCAGGGCACTCCCCCCCCCCCCCAGAGCCACCTCCACGACACTCCCAGGCTGGAAGGGGAAGGCGGGCTCGCGGTGCTCGGCCCCCCAGGCCCCGCCGTCCTTGCTGTTGCACACGATGGTGTTGGCGTCCCCGAAGGCGTTGAAGCGCGGGTTGAAGTGCAGACACAGGTTGTTGCTGTCTTTGCCCAGGTTCAGCACGAAACTAGGGAAGAACAGGTGAACTTGAGGATAGCTTGGCCAGCTGAGGCTACCTTCTGGTCAGTCCCTAAAGCAGACCAGTCTGTCACTCGGTACACCACTACTGCACCTTGCTGGGAGACATCCAACCAGACCAGAAATCCGTATTCTAGTCTGGCCTGGCTGTGTGACTTGAGCTAGTCTCTGACCCTCTCTGGGTCTCAGTTCGCTCGCTTGCATGATGGGGGCTGCAGAAGAAAGATCTCTAAGGGTTTTGCTGTGCTGATGGCCCCAGACTCTTGCAGATCTAACCTTTTTTTTTTTGGTGCTGGGGATTGAACCCAGGGCCTTGTGCATGTGGTATCCCCAGCCCGTGATCTAACATTTTAGGTCAAGCTCAGGGACCCCCTCCAGATGGTGACCTCTGGGGGGGCAAGTGTCCTGTCTTGTACATTTCTGAATCCCTGTTGCCCAGCACTGAGTGGGACACAGCATATACTACCGGGTGAATGATCAGAGGTTTTTTGGGCTGGGGTGTGGCTGCGTGGCAGAGTGCGCACTTAGCACGTGGGAGGCCCTGGGTTTGATTCCCAGCATCACGCAAAAAAAGAAAAAGATGGCTCTTTTCGTGGAGCGATGAGTGTGAAAAGAGTGGGTGTCTCTTACAAAGAAATCACCGCCATCATTGATATACCCAGCCTCTGTCCTCCTCCAGCTCACCCCTGCCCCCGTGTTTATTGATTAAGAAACTGAGGCCCAGAGAGGTTGGTTGACTGGTCCAAGGTCATAAGGCTGCTGAGAGGAAGGGCCCTGGATGGGCGAATGAAGGACTGAAGATACAGAAGGGTGGGCCAGGGACGAGCAGCCCTAGGAAGGAGGGTCTCTAAGGGAGAGTGGGTGGCGCCCCTCTGTCCCCTTCTCCAGGCCCCAGCCTCAGATCCTGCCCGGAGTCGGAAAGGGAGGGGGCCAGTCAAGGTAAAGATGAGGCCGCAGCTGGTTTAATTTAGAGGCTGGGAGGGGGGAGGGGGCGAGGATGGTGGGGGCGCCAGACCCCGCGGAGGAAGTGACTCACCCAGAAACGCAGCCAGCAGCTGGCCGCGGACCCACTGGAGAAGCGGGCTTCCCGCCGGCCACGCCCACCCCGCCGCCCCACCCAGGCCTCGGAGCGCCATCCCCGCCATCGCCATCCCCGCTACCTCCCACCGCCACCGGCGGTCACCCCTCACCTCTTGGCGTCGGGAGCCACCTCGCCGCGCACTCTGAGGCACTCTCCGGGTTTGAGGTTCAGGTTGCTGGCGACCAGACCCTGTGGCACACAAGACCCGCCCGCTGGGTTAGGGAGAGGTGGCTTCCTGGGGCGGCTGGTCGTGGCAGTGGGGTCTTTCCCACCCTATGTCCTCTGACCAGGCCACCGGGAAGCCTGGGGGACAGGACAGGTTCTTACAGGGAAAGCCCCTCTCCCCACAGGGACTCTGAAACATGGGGTGCTCCCCAGCTCGGGCTCTGGATCTTGCCCTTGGGCTGCGGGACCTGGTTCAGAGCAGCCTGGGAGGCGGGGTTCAATGCCCCTCATTTAGCAGAGGCCACTTGCAGCGGGTGCAGACACTTTCCCAAGGTGACACTGGAGGGGTCTGTCCCTCTGCTGGAGAAATGGCCTGGGGCTACAGCAACCTCCCCCATCCGGGTCAAGCTCCTCTCTGCAGAGAGGTGCAGGGGCCAAAGAGGACACCGAGGACTATGGCCAGGCCCTTCTGCAGGAGGGAGAACCCCCAAAGATTAGGGCTGCCGCTGGGGATGGTTCAGGGTTAAGGAGACTGACCAGGACACAGGGCACTGCCTGGCACTATGAGCCCTGGCACCAGGGCGGTGGGCAGGAGTTAACTGGAGTTAAGAGTTCCTTCTGCCAGAAGCCTTCCCTAGGGGCCTGGGGAGACTCCGGCCTCCCCTTCCCTCCCTCACCAGCCTCTTCAAGTGGGATTCCCCACCCCCACCTGGTCAGCCCAGAGGAACCAGCCCCACCCCCGGCCCCAGGGAGACCTCCACCAGCAGCCCCCCTGGCTCCTGCAGACTTTTTAGAGCTCTCTGGAGCAGAGGGTGACTTGGCCCTGGAGCAGTGACTGGAGACAGCTGCAGGGGGGGAGGGGACATGAGGCTCTGGAGTGCAGGAGGGGGGAAGGACAGTGGCCTGGACCAAAGTGCCCCCCCACTGTGGCCACACCCTTCAAACTCCCACTTCTCCGAGCTGCGAGCTGCAGAATCGCAGAATGTGGGACCTTGGCAGAATCAACTCCGCTGCCCCACCCTGGAGCAACCAGAAAATTCTTAAGCCACAGAAGGCCCTGGGGGACCATGGCGCCCACCCCCATTTTACAGATGTGGCCACTGAGGATCAGAGAAGAGAAGGCACTTGTCCAAGGCCATACAGCTGGGACTAGAGCCCCGCTTCGGAATGGCCCTGCACTCCCCTGGTCATCTGCTCCCCGCTATCCCCAGTCCTTGGGGTGGGGGACCCACACTCACACAAGCCATAGTGAAGCCTAGAGGGTGTTCCCGGGGTCTGCTGCAGGGCTGTCAAAGGACTCCTCAGAGAGATGGGCCCGGCCGCTCCCACCCTTTTAACTGGACCGGACCCGCTGAGTCCCGCCCCCTGGAAGCTCAGCCAATTGCAAGTCAGGACTGGGATGGGGGCCACCAAGGCGGGGTCAATGGAATTTCTAAATCGATTCTGGAGCAGAGGTGACCAATCAGAGTAGCGATTCCCCTCCCTCCTTCCTAGCCACGCCCCCAGGGTCCCACTCCACCTCCTATCCTTCATCCTCCCCCCATCAAAAAAAAAAAAAAAACTTATGCTGTGGCAGAGATTGGGGGGAGCCAACGGAAAATAGTTTGAGGATGAGCTAGACCCAAAAGTTGGCGGGAAGGGGCCTGAGGCCGGCAGCTGAGCACAGGGGGCGCCCAGAGAAGAGGGCTGAGGGGGCGCAGGATGCGCCAGGGAACTAGAGCTGGGGAGGGAGAGGCTGCGACCTGGGAGGGCCAGGGCGTGGCTCCCGCTGAGTGCCACTGCGGAGGGCTAGGGCCGGTGGCCACGGGGCCCTGGCCCCACCCGTCCCCCACCCCGCCCCGGAAGCGGTGCCTGCAGCTGCCGCACTCGCCGCTCACTTTGAGCTAAAGAAAGGCTGGGCCCCGCGCCAGGGTGAGGCTGTCAGCTGAGGCCTGCACCTCGGGTTGCCTGGGCGGAGGGGGCGGCCGGGGGTTCTCTGAGAGTCGCTGCCCCCGGGAGCGCAGGCCTGGGAGGTGGCCCGCGGTGCGCCAGGCCCTGAGGGTTGGGGTCTCCACTCTGTGCACCCCTGCTCCTCCCATCTCCTGTCTGAAGCCAGCCTCCTCTTCCCCACGTGCACAGCAGATGTTCTCCTGAGCACCTACTGTGTGCCTGACCCTGCTCCGACTTCAGAGGATACAAAGAGGAGCCCCTCCTAGTCCCTGTCCCTCCCGAGGAGCCCATGGTTGGGGTTAGGTGGAATCTGACCAAGAAGCTGATGAAGAAACCGGGCGGTTCTAAGGCGAGTGGGATGGAGAAAGGGAGGCAGGTGGTCTCAAAGTGCAGCAAAGAAAGACTGGCCTTCCCGCAGGACACAGGCCTGAGGACAGGGAGCGTCTGAGCATGTAGGAGAAGGTGGGGGGCGAGACTGGAAGAAAGCCAACTGTACCCGGTCTTGAAGGGGCTCTTGGGCCAGGTAAAGGGCTTGGCGAGTTTCATCTGAGGGTACTGGGGAGCCACCGAAAGTTGTAGGGAGGGTGAGTATTGAGAGTAGACATGGGATATGGGGAAGGTTTCCGCAGCAGAGTTGAGGGGGCCTGCGGGCAGTCACCTCACATTCGGGACCCGCTTAAGGAAGGGGCACGAGGGCTTGCCAGGGAGTTTCCAAGGGGACCTGCTCTGTGTGGCCACCCCCCTTCTAAACTGACAGCACTGAAGAGGGAGGGAGATGCGACTAGGAGTGAGTCACATCTGGAGGCCAGGCCAGCACCCACCCACCCCTCCCGGCCTCCCCAGCCGAGCCCCCACACCCCCACACCCCACTTTTGTCCAGATGACTGAAGCCCGCCCCCCCTGCACCAGATGACAGGGGTGTGTGTAGGGCCGCCCTCTGTGTGGGGGACCCAGAGAAGGGGGCTGCACCCAGGAGCCCCCTCCCTCTCCCCAGGCCAGTGTCGCCTGGTAACCCAACCACAGAAGCTTCACTTTTTCCCGTGTGCCTCCCCAAAACCTCAGTCCTAGGGAGGGGCCGCCGGACCAGCCCAGCTGCACTCCTCTCCCAGAGATGCTCCCTGCCACGTCACAACGGGGCCTCAGGAGGTGCCCCAGACCCAGGACCAGAGGAGCTCTGGGCAGGGCGCCTGTCCCAGCCCAGGAGTGACCTGGAGAGTGGCCAGCACCAGGGAGTGCTTGCTCCTGGGCAGGGACGGGTCACTTCCGTCAGGGTCCAGCAGCATGGCGAGGGTGCAGGTCCCCAGGAAGGCCCCACTGGGGTCTGGGGACTTGGGTTCTGCTTCTAACCCTGTTGTGCTCCCCCACCCCCAGGGAATCCTGGCCGCCCGGGCTCCCGGCTTGCCTCAGTCTCCCCATCTGCAAACTGGGCCTGTGAAATGCTGCTCTCCTGCTCAAGGGTCACACAGGGCCTGACTCAGGTCAGTGACTCAGGCATCTCAGGTTTCAACTTCCCTCTGGCCCTTAGGGCCCTTTCTCCCAGACTGAGTTTATCTTCCTGGGGAGATCTGAGAGGACTTGCCCTCTGGTTCCTAACATGGATAACTGGGCTCTCAGGGAGACAAAAGATACCCATGCCAGGCATAGAAGCCCACACCTGTAATCCCAGTATCTTGGGAGGCTGAGGTAGGAGGATGGAGAGTTCAAAGCCAGCCTCCTCGGCAAAAGCAAGACTCTAAGCAACTCAGACTCTGAATCTAAATAAAATACAAAATAGGGCTGGGGGTGTGGTTCAGTGGTCCACTGCCCCTGAGCTCAATCCCAGGTACTCCCCCTGCCCCCCAAAAAACCAGAGACCTTTACTAGAGACCCAGATCTACGAGCATGAGCATGCCCAGCCCTTTGGTTAGATGAACAAAGTCTCCAGTGCGTGTGTGTGTTCCAGATCAACTAGAACAAAAGCATAGTCAATTTAAATGTCACCAGATTCAAAGACCTACACAGGGAGCCCACAGCTGATTTCAGGCTGGATTGCTCAACCAGGAAGCAACATTCTGAGCCCCAAATATCAAAGGACTGATGTGGGGTTTAATTTTCACAGAAGCTTGCTGGAAAGTCGTACTTTTCTTCCTAGGAAAAACCTATGTATAGTCAGATAGCTCTGCCCTGGGGACATCGCTCTCTTCCCTGAATGAGGGGTCTCTGCACCCTGCTTTGGGGTATGTAGACCTTTGCTGTGTTTTATTTTTATTTAAGATTTTTTTTAATTTTTATTTTTTTGGTACTGGGGATTGAACCCATGGCACTTAACCTTGGAGCCACGTCCCCAGCCCCATTTTCATTTTGTTTAGAGACAGTGTCTCACCGAGTTGCCGGGCACCTTGCCATTGCTGAGACTGACTTTGAACTCGCAATCCTCCTGCCTCAGCCTCCCAAGTTGGTAGGATTACAGATGTGTGCCACCACACCAGATCTGCTTTGCTGTTTTTAAACAAATCTTTGCTTGTGACTTGCTCTTGGTGTGTCTCAACGTGTCTTTTCAGTGGTGTAAGCCTAGAACCTGCCTGGCTGAGTTGAGGACCCAATGCTCCCCTTGGAAGGGTCTTCACAGATCCTGGGACATTCCTTTGGCAATCCAGATGGCACTCTAAACTGAGGAACCACCCGTGGTGAGTTGAACTGAATGCTTTGAACCCAGGGGCAAGTAACCACGGAGCCACATCCCCAGCCCTTTTTATTTTTTATGTAGTTCAGGGCCTCAGCTAAGTTGCTGAGGCTGGCCTTGAACTCATGAACCTCCTGCCTCAGCCTCCCTTGCTGCTGGGGTTGCCCGGCTACATTCTTTCTCCTATTTCATGCTGCAGAGTTTCTGTTTCTGACCTGCTGCTTTTTGTTTCTCGCAGTGCAAGCTGAGCTCCTGCTTCACCCTGCTCTGCGGCCTCTGGGAGTGAACCCTCCTATAGGACACACCCAGCCTCTTTTCATTTTTAGCATTTATATCCCTCCAGGTCTCCCACTGCCCTTGCATTTCTCTTCGCCCAGCGCCCCCCCCATGTAAAGTTGTGAAACTCTGAAACGCCTCACCAGCACAGCCCCAAAGGAAAATGCCCAGTTGCAGGGTTTGATTATTTCTGAAGAACACACCCCCCTGTTGGCTTTGTTTAAGGACCCAGTGGCTGCCCCTCCCTGGCACCAGACGGTTCCCCTTAGGCTCATCTTGTTGTGTGCCTCATGCCCACGTCCGCCCCAAAGAATTCTTTGTGAGGATTTTGTGTCATTTCTATTCTGTTCTTAAGGAAATTTGTTTCAGGGCTCACTTGGGTGAGATTAGACTTTGAACTTAAAGACTCAAGGGGTGGGGCGGGGGCTCCGGTTTTCCTAATTATGGGAACCAGAACTCAGAAGCTTTGGAGTGTCTGGTAGTCAGAGGGGTCGCATTTCCCCTGAGTACTCGGGGTATCTCCAGGGATGCGGGGAGCAAATGTTGCCCCAGGAGGAAGGCTTCGTCCTCAGGCTATTTGGTGGCAGCAGCACCAGGTGAGGCTGGCCGAACTGGGGTACCGGAGCTCCGGGGGATCTGAGTATCCCATAGTCTTTCTTTCTTTCCTTTTGATCTCCACCTGCAGGTTCGAAATTCTTTCAGCTGTTAAAATATGGGAAATTCAACGTCTATCCCTGTAAACTCACTTGGGATTCCATAATAAATAGTTGAAATTTCTACACTCAAAGCACAGATTTACAAGGCCCGCGTAGGGTCCCGTGTTAGTAGAAGGCACGAGAAAGATCTGTGAATAAACCAGTGAGTCATGATCAAGTCCCGGGAGTGACTCGGGGAGAAAATGGGAACCTGTTTGGGTCTTGATTAGACTGAAACCTTAAGAAGTGAACGAACACTGACCCAAGTTCTCAGGAGGGATGGAGTCTCCTGGGCACCAGCGGCAGACGTGAGGAGAGAATTTCAAAAGCCAACTCCGGGTCCTCAGTCCCCTGTCACCCAATTTTTAAATTTGACCTTTGGGGCATTCAACAAAAAGATAAAGGGCCCCATGAAATCTTGGAGACAGCGACAGCAGGCGGGAGAACAAGCCCAGGGCTTGCCCTGGCCACAGGCCCGGCCCCTCAGAGATGATATCCAAGGGCTCCACGCCAAAGAGGGAAAAGAGTTGGAGACCTAGAGGATGTCACCATGGCAGACTGTCCCCAGCAGGGCCCATCGACACAGGGGCCGTGCCCCCTTCATAGAGAGGGGGACCCTGGGGAAGAGATTGCCTCACCTCCAGAGAGGGACAGGAGGCCATCTGCCCCATCAAGGTGCCCTGGAAGACAGATGCCTGAGGCCTCTCAAGTCCCCTTTGACCTTCTGGACATCACCACAGAAGAGGCTCAGAGACTCTTGATGTGGCAGCCTGTTGGATACTGGAGCTCAACCCTCTGCCTTCCTCAACCCCCAGGACCTTTTTCTAATCAAACTGTGTGGCCACTGCACCCTGAGGCCAGTTGACTCGCAGAACCTTTCACTTGCAGATTTAAAAACTTGATTTTCGGGCTGGGGATGTGGCTCAAGCGGTAGCGCGCTCGCCTGGCATGCGTGCGGCCCAGGTTCGAGCCTCAGCACCACATACAAACAAAGACGTTGTGTCCGCCGAGAACTAAAAATTAAAATTCTTTCTCTCTCTCTCTCTCTTAAAAAAAATTAAAACATAAAAACTTGATTTTCAGTCCAGCTCTTCGGGTCCTAAGAAAACCTCCTCACTGGCTCCACTCCTTCCTGAATGGAGGGGCCCTTCGGGATCTTTTAAGCAGCACGCCTGCAATCCCAGAGGCTCAGGAGGCTGAGGCAGGAGGATCACGAGTTCAAAGCCAGCCTCAGCAACTTAGTGAGGCCCTAAACAACTTAGGGAGACTTTGTCTCTAATATATATATATATATAAAAATATAAATATAAAAACATAAAAATATATACGTAAATACATTATATTTTTATTTTTTTAGACTAACAAAAATCCCCCAAATCTCCAGCACATGTCATACCAGATCAACTGGAACAAAAGCAGAGTCAATTTAAATGTCACCAGACTCAGAGACCTACACCCGCTGCCCACAACTGACTTCAGGATGGACTGTCCACCAGGAAGAAACAATCTGAACCCCAAACATTGACACGGGATTTGATTTCCACAGAAGCTTGCTGCAAACTTGTACTTTTCTTCCCAGGAAAATCCTGTGTATGGTCAGAGAGCTCCACCTGGACTGTCACTGTCACTGTCACGGGGAGGTGAGGGGTGTCTGCACCCTGCCTTTGGGATGGGTCTGCCTTTGCTTTGCTGTCCTTCAATCAATCTCCTCTGCTTGTGCCTCAACATGTCAGTCAAGAACCTGCCTGGAGCCGGGCACGGCGCAAACACCTGTGATCTCAGCAACTGGGGAGGCTGGGGCAGGAGGATCCTAAGTTAGAGGCCAGACTTTGTCTCAAAAATATAAAGGGCTAGGATGGAGCTCAGTGGTAAAGTACCCCCGAGTTCGACTGCTAGTACCACAAAACAGGGGACCTCCTCAGACCCATTTGGTGCCAATCTCCTCTTGCTTGGGCTGGGGTGGGGAGTTGTTCAAGATTCCAGAGTTCTCTAGAACAGTGACTATCTCCTTTCACCGTATCACCCCCTACTTGGTGGCTGCCACCGGGTGGAACTTCAGTAGGAGTAGGAAGCCACAGTCAGAATCGGGAGGAGAGGCAGGTTTGAATGGGGGCCGCCTGGCTGCAGGTGTGTGACTTCTTTGAATCGTCCCAGGCCTGGAAAGCAGCATGACCACATTCCCAGGTTTCCTGGCTGCCTGGAGCATTCGAGGTGTGATGTGTAAGGATGCGCCCTCACTCCTGTGGCCCCCAAGGCCAGGCCTTGCCCCGGGATTGTCTGCTCCCCTGGGTGCAGGAGCGCCTGGCAGTGCTCTGGAAGCCCCATCCCTGCAGCCTGGCCTTTGGCTGCTGCTGAGAAATGGACTCCACTTGTCCAGATGGAATCTGGGCCAGCGCAGCCCTTCGAGGCCTCCCTCCCACCTTGCCCAGATGGAGGCTATGCTTCCTCCAGCTGGCACTGGCTGGAGAGCTGGAAGCCACAGAGGCGCCATCCCCTGCCCCGCCAGCTCAGAGTCCTAGATATCAAGTAGGAGGGACCCGGGAGATAGGCCTGGCCTGCCCCCTGCTTTTCTTCCAGTACTAGGGTTGAACCAGGGCACTATATTTTTATTATTTATTTATTTTTTTGGTACTAGGAATTGAACCCAGGGCCCTTAATCATTGAACCGCATTCCCAGCCTTTTTTATTTTTAGAGACAGGGTTTTGCTAGGTTGCTTAGGGCCTTACTAAGTTGCTGAGGCTGGCTTTGAACCCGCGATCCTCCTCCTGACTGAGCCTCCCGAGCTGCTGAGATGCCAGTGTGCGCCACTGTGCCCAGCTATATTTCATTTTTCGAGACAGGAAGGTTCTCACTAAGTTGCTGAGGTTGGCCTTGAACTCTGGTCCTCTTGCCTTAGCTTTCCCATCATGCCAGGTGTCTGTTCCCCTGTTTCGTGACACAGTTTCATGGGGCAGAAACCATCTAGAGAGGGTGGTCCCTTGACTGAGCCCACCCAGGGATCTGAGCCAAGGAGAGAAGGCTGTGGTCCTGGGCACCTGCCCGTTTAACCACCTCCTCACTCCAGTGAGCTGCTGGCCCTTTGCCTCTCATCTGGGGTCTGTCCCCCTTGTGATCACAGACCCCCCACTTCCTTTGGGGAACTGTCCCTCCTCTGAGGGGAGCCCAGACCTTTTTCTTAATTGGCCTGACCCTCCAGGGCTCAGGTCTGAGCCTCTTTAGTTTAGCATTTTATTTTGAAGTCAAAGACTCACAGGAAGCTAAGCTCAGAAAATATTTGAGACTCAAAGCGGAGGGGGGTGGGGGGGAAATGTATTGGCTCCAAAACATAGAACTTCAAAGCCGAAATTAACTCATTTACTGTGCTCAAACTTAATGAAATATTAGCTTGGTTGGTCATAAAAATGTCATTCCACTGGAAAACAACTTTGTAGGTTGGGTTTTTCTCACTTTGAAAGTGTTTCCAAGTTCTTCTAGAGGTCAGTCAGTGCTCAATATGATCCCGACAGAGAGATAATGTCTAAAACAAAAGTATAAAAGTATATTTAAAGTTATATGGTAGAGAGATACAAATATTATGTCTTGATAAAAAAGTGTTTAAAAAGTCTCTAATGTGGTACATGGCGATCTTTGAGCGTTTTCTCTGGTGCGTCTGACGCATGTGTACCAGGAGATTTGTATCTGCAGGTTACAGAAAACTCAACGAAATTACTTTACAATCAAGGGAAAGTGTTCTCTTAAGTCGAGGGCTGTGGAGGTTTTTGGCAGGATTATTTAGTGGTTCGGGGAAATCATCAGCAATCTAGTCCTTGAGCAATCATGGATTGCAGCTCCGTAGCCAGTCCTTGCCCTTACGAGGACCAGCTGAAGGACTTGGGGAGCGAACCCTGGTAACGCCTGTTAACATCTGCAACAGGTTTTCAAATGGTTCGAAATGTAAATATGTAAGCCAGGCGCAGTGGCGCACGCCTGTGACTCAGGAGGCTGAGGCAGGAGGACCGCGAGTTCAAAGCCAGCCTCAGCATTAGGGAGGCAGGTGCTGAGCAACTCGGTGAGACCCTCCTGTCTCTAAATAAAATACAAAATAGGCTGGGGATGTGGCTCAGTGGCCGAGTGCCCCCGAGTTCAATCCCCAGTACCAAAAAAAAAAAAAGTAAATATGAAGAGAGCTGTTGGCAAAACTGGGCAAATATGAACATCTGGCGACACTTGGTGAAGGACTTGGGGGTGTTGGTGCCATCCTTGCACTCTTGTGTTGGTTTGCAACTTCTAAACCAAAGTGGGGTGGCGCAGCACAGAGGCCCAAGCCTGCATGGCCCAGCACTAGGAGGGCTGGGGCAGGACGCCGCCTCGGGTCCAGGAGTTGGAGGCCAGCCTGGGTGACAGTGAGGTCCTGTCTCAATAATAATAAAGTTTTGGGGAAACACCTGTAAGTTCTTCTGGCCTCTCTGCCCTGCCACCTGCAGCAGAATCACGAGGCAGCCCCCAGCACCACATCTGAAGCGGAGAAGAGCGAGCCCCTCACCGTGGCCTGTAACAGTGAGGTGAGCCTTCCCACAAGTTCCCAGCAGACCCCTACGTCTCCTCGGTCACTGTCTACGGCACACCTAGGACCACCGAGACCAGGAGGAATCAAGTAACCGTGACTGTTTCAACTCAAGCTTTAAACTCATCTACTTCCCTGCTCGGAGGAGGGTGCCTCCAGTTACACCCCAGGGACGTCAGGGTTCCGTTGGCAAAGAAGGTAGGGGATGGCTCTCAGGTGCCGGTTGGGACCTTGGCTGGGGGAGAGGCCCATGATCCAGGTGGTAGACAGCTGTGTCCAATCCCCAGGGTCTGGGTTACCACGTGGGCAAGTGACACAAGCCCAGCCAATGAGAGTCTGCCCTGGGACACTGGGTGCTGCCTGGGGGGTGCCAGAACCACCTCGCGGGGACCCAGCTGTCTGCACAAGCCTCCTAGAGCACCTCAGAGAACCCACAGCTCTCGACTGCATGCTGCAGCCAGGCTCTGCCCAGGCCTCCTTCTCCCCCAAAGAATCCTGGAGGGAGAGGGTCCCCGGGCAGGAACCCCAGCCCTGGCTCTGCAGACACTGAAGCTGAGCAGGAAGGAGCTGGAGAAAGCACAAGTGGCAAGTCAAGACAGGCCTGGAGCAATCCCGTCCCTGCCCCTTGGTGGCCCTGGGGTACAGCAGGGGGACACACTCCCGAGCATCTCACCCGAGCTGCTGGGGGTGGGAACCTCATCCTGCACCTTCCTGTCCTCTCCAGAGGGGCTGCAGCGTCTGCAGTCAAGTCCAAGTCACAGCCCAGCGGTGCGCCCAAAGGCACCGGCCTCACCCCCACCCTCAGCTTCCTGAGCTGTGAAACGGGACGGGTGGGAGACGGTGGTAGAGACCCGAGGGTTTCCAAAGGGCTGAAAGAAACTGGTGCAGGCCCAGCTCCCTGGCAGAGCACCTGCCTGGGCAAGGCCTGGGTTCTACGCCTGGCACCACCAGAAAGAAAAATGACTCACTAATGTGGAGGTGGAAAGTGAGGGCACTACTGCAGCAGAGAACACTCCGGAACCCGCAGATCGTCCCGTGGGCAAGGTCACGGGTGGGCGAGCTCCGGGAAGGCAGGCCTCTCAGGCCCCGCTCCTTGACCAGACACGCGTGTGCACTCCCACTCAGACTTTATTAAGCAGGGAGGACTGGTTACAACCGGGAGGGGGCAGGGAAGGCCCAGCCCCCCACCCCACTGACAGTTCACACAGTATAAATAAATAAATAACAGGAGGGGGGTAAAGGTGGCACAGCAAACACTGACCACAAAGGGGGCAAAGAAGCCTGCCCGAGCCGTGGCCACCTCAACACTGGACAGGTACCGGGATCAGGCAGGGGTGGGGCTCTTGGTCACAGTCTTTGGGGAGGGGTATCTTCAAACCTGGCCCCTTATGTACCGACTGGGAACCCCTGGCTGGTCC